TTTCGATCATGGCATGCCTTTCATTGCCATTGCCTATATCCATAGAGGTCTGGAAGGTAGATCCACCAATCAACTTTGTTTTTCCAGTGCGCCAAATCATTGCTGATTCAGCAGCAATAAGCATATAGGTGAGATCGATTAGGGTTACATCGTGGCTCATCATATAGTACTCTCTTACGAACTCACTATATGAGTCAGGAAGTGACTGAAGAACCCAATCAACAGCCAACTCCTCACAGACAACAGATCCCAACATTCTTAACCTATCAATGTGTGACTTCATCTCTAGGACGTGTGCACACACTGACTTTCCTTCTACATGTTTTTTGCCAAAATGGATTGAGTGAGTTTGATTTTTTTTTTCAATCTTATGAACTCGTGGGTTAGGGAGAACAATAGGAGGAAGTGGAGGAAGTGAAGCATGATCTCGTGTTCCTCGATCGAATTGTGGAATATCATCTTCATGTGAAAAGCTTGTTCCACGGGATTTGTAAAGACGATAGTTGCCATACTCTGACATCTACAAAATGGGAGAAAAATTAAATTCAAGTTAATTGATTGATCGAGTCATTAATAAATCACCCAAATGAGATATTAAGGCTAGGACCCAACACAATACTCTACAACCTAAAAAAGGGATATCGTAATCTAGTTGCAGAATATTTGAAGGTAAGTGAATAACGATTCACTAATTTCCACCATGAAAAATGAAAAAGAAATTTAAGTTTTAAATCTATTGAAAATTCCTAGATCTTTCGAGATTCATTGAACTTTTCAATGGCATGTTTAAATCTCGATATGCCCCTCTAGTTTGTGACTGGGATACCGAGGATCACAAAGCGGGTGTGAATAACCATGCAAACTTACATGGTGCCCCCACATGTTGCAATCATCTATTCGATGTGCCGGTTAACCACACACGCTCCACCGAACTATGAAAAACATTGAGTCACCCTTTGCTACCTTTTCTTAGAGCCATTTAGTGTGCCGGTTAACCACACACGCTTCACTAACGTCTTCGCAAGGGCACAAAGTGTAATTTCATAGAATTGCATCAATTCACTTTTGCCTAAAGTAACTAAGATTGGGAATTTGTAAAATCATTTAGTTACTTTTGTACTTCATTATACTTATAATGGAAGGTTTCTGTCCTATCCTAACCGTTCGGCTAACGACCCTCCACTAGTCAAGAGTGCAGTGGGTAAGAGTGGATACCCATTCAATCGCCATTTTATAGGCAATTTTCTTAAACATCCCTTATAGATCAGCTTCGTGAATGAGGCCTACTAACGGTAAGACTGACTTTTACTCATACATATATATAATTTTAGAATTTCAATGTTATATATAGTATAGGGTATATTTTACACTTTTAAAATACTAGTTGGTCTAATTTAAAAATTATACCTTTAATTTAATTAAATATAAACCAAAAACTCTATGGATTTATTAAATCTCTTTTAATTATACACCTTAATTAATTAATAAAACCATAACGGTGAGATTTGAACTTTTCAAAACAATACTAGGGTTTTAGAATTTGACATCTCTAAATTAACTTTTAATCAACTTTTAAATTCCAAAACTTGAGGGCAAGTTTTGAAACATTTCAAAACATTAGGGTTTAGAATTTAAATATTTCAAAATCAAACCTTTTAATCAAAAATTTAAAATCCAAGACTTGAGAGCAAGTTTGAAGCTTTTCAAAACACAAAGGATCAAATAGCAAATAATTTAAATTAAACAATTAATTTAATGATTATCTAAATTTGACTTAAATCAATTTCTTGCAAGATAAGTTACCCAATTAATACAAATAATCAAACTTTAATCATATAAGGAAGTTATTATTTAATCAGTTGGTAGTTATCTTTTGTTTAATCAAGGATATACTCAAAAATATGTTTAAAATCGGATTTTAATGACCCAACATAGTTAAGGCAAGTATCCATGAGTAAAACAACAAGAAATCATGAAACTGCCTCCTTCTGATGCTCGCACTCGCCGAGTAGGAGCAACTCGCCGAGTCCACATTGGAACTCGCCGAGTCCACATTGGAACTCGCCGAGTTCATCAGACAGGGGACCAAAAATTCGATTTTTGAAGCTTAAACAAATAACCAAGGCATCAATACAATAGAAACCAATCTTTGATACCACTGATGGGTTTTAGCTATAAGAACATCCTATGTGCTCACACAAACCCTAATGCTTGGATCTAGGTTTCTCTATTGTACATGTAATTCATCCAAGACTTTAAACCCTAGATCTAGCATATGATAATCAATATTAACATAACAATGGGTTTAGGATATTACCTTGATTGTTATGTAGCAATAAGAATCTCAAATCCTCCTTGTAATGACTTTAGAAAGCTTAGAGTCACAAATGTCACTCCTATAATGGTTCACAAACACCAAGAGCAAGAGGATGAAGAATAAGAAGAGAAGAGACACCCAAAACCGTGTAGAAACCCTAAGGATTCAGTTACCTACGTTTTTGGTGCCCAAGGGCTCCTTAAATAGTGAGGCTATTAGGGTTATCTAACAAGGAAACCCTAATTTGGATGCTTAGGCCCTAAGCAACCCATGGACTCCTTCCTTAAAGGCCTAGGACGATTTCTAATGGGTTTCCCCATGGAGTTCGTCCACCCCTCTAATATGGAGTCCATTATCCCAAAATTCAACTATCATGCAATTGACAGTTCTAGTCCCTTAAGTTTAATTAGTGTCTTTCAGTCACAAACTTAATTCTTATTAATTAAACAATATGATTTCTCCTTTAATATATTATTCTCATAATATTAATAAATCATAATTAATCATTTTTCTCCATAATTCATCCTATCAAGTTGCTTTGGTGAAGGCAACCCAAAAGGACCATGCACCATCGGGTCAAGTACATACCAAAATAGTTATGGGCTTAGACACTAATCCAACAATTTTATGCTGTAATAATCATATGTGATTAACGATATGTATTTATATTTTAGTATAAAATCAGAGATGATTTTAGATATTAATATATTATTAGATGTTAAATCATACGTGTTTGTAGATTGTATTATATGATTGATCATATACTATATTGTGTAATCATAAATGATTATACGTATTAATTTATAAATAATCATACTTGATATTGTTTAATTATGTATGATTAATCATATGTATTTGTAGTTTTTAATATATGGTTATACATATTAATTTATAAATAATCATATTTTATGATGTATAATCATATATAATTATTCATCCAAATATAATATTAATATAGATTGCAATTTGAAAACATATATGATAAATGATAATTACAAAATATAAATACATATGATTAATCATAGATATGAACATTCATATATGATTTTTCATCCTATGTGATTGGTTAATCACATATTGTATTGTATAATCATATATGATTAGTCGTAATTATATTGTATAATAAAAGAATTAGAATGAAGTGTAGAAACTTTAATGAAATATGTAGTATTAAAACGAATTAGTTGTATCTTCAATACGAATCGTATTTTGAAGTTCTTCAGAAGTGAAAGAAATTGAATTGATTTGTTCGTCGTTACGAGATGAATTGATTTAAGCTATAATAGTATCAGTTGCGATTAACTTGTCAATTTCTTTTGGATTCGACATCATATATGAAAATTGATTTTGTTTCAATTTTCAAATGCTCTGTTTATGATTGCGAGGTGCTTTTTTCTTTGATTTGAGGATTATGTATCGTATTCATGTGGATATGAACTGATGCTATGTTTCGATCGTTTTTTTTCGATTTGAAGGCTGCGATTAATTTGATAACAAATTCAGTAAAAATAGGATCTTTTTTATTATAGTTAATGATTGTTGAAGATTGGATGATATGATTACGTGACTTATATTGAGAATCGATGATTTAACGATATGATGATTTTTAGAGAAGGAAGGTGTCCGTTTTTTTAACATTAATTTGACGTTTATTGTTATACCCTTGAATCATTTAACAGTTGACGTTAAGTTCCCGTGGTTGATATTTAATCTCACAATTTCTAATTTTTTATTAATATCAAGGGAATTTATATTTAATCTCACAATCTTTAATTTTTTTATTTAATCTTACAATCTATATATATATATATATATATATATATATATATATATATATATATATATATATATATATATATATATATATATATACTGTTAAAAAAAAAAAAACAACTCTAATTAAAAGTTTCTCTTAGGTTTAAACATTAAATACAACAAATGCTCATTGGCTAAGTAGCTGCAGCTATCGATCATTTTCGGCGATTCATTTCGGGTCCCTCTTTTCTAATTTAAGATGCCGACCTCGCTAAAAAAAGTTTTGTAAATAAACATGTACAAAAACTTTTTCTCAAGTTAATTATTCCAAAATAAAATAAAAATATGTAACAGAATAACCCAAATGAATACAAATAACTTTCGATTTTTTAAAGCATATCGTGTTGTGATGAGAAATCCCGTTAGTTCCTCCTTAATAAATAAAAATATTTTGCTACATGTTATATTATTATTTATTTTGCTACATGTAATTTTGTAGTTATTTTAAATTAATATTTATTCTAAATGTTATTTTATGATTTTTTTTATTTTATTAAGTTATAAATAGTATTTAAATACAATACTAAATATATATCAGTTTTAATAATGAAGTTTCCTTTTAATTTTAAACTCTTAAATTAAAGATTCATTAATTTTCTTTATTTATTTATCTAAATTATTTGTTTAAAATTAAAAGAGAAATAAACATTTTAATTTTTATAATTCAATATTTTCAATTTTTTTATAAATTTATATATGTGTATAGAATTTTATGTTTAATTTTTTTTTAAAAAAATAAAACCGAATAATACATGTTTTCATAATAATATATAATAGATCCAGATTCATACATAACCTACTGTCCTACAATGACAAGGAGATATGAATAACAGTTTCAGTCTGGTCCCTGACAACATTACCAGCTTCAATGGCGTTACCCTTCCATGTGAAAATCATTGAACAATGCGATGTATCTCCACCACCAGATTCCGTCATACCTCCGATTTCACTTCCTCTAACATTCTTAGACATTCCATGGCTTCTTTACCCTCCATATCAAACCCTTTTTTTCTTTCCAAAACCTCCGCTAAAATCCACCACCACCACCATCATATCCCTTCTCAAAAAATCCCTCTCCACCACCCTCCACCACTTCCACCCTCTCGCCGGAAACCTCTCTGCTCCACCACCACCCGCCGAGCCACACTTAATTTACACCAAAGGTGACTCCGTCTCACTCACCATTGCGGACTCAAACGTCAACATCATCCATATCTCCGGCAACCACCCCCGAAACGTCGTCAATCTTTACTCTCTTCTACCAAAGCTCCCAATTCCATCCATGCCACGTGACTCCCACCTGACACTCGTCCTCCCTCTTCTCGCCATCCAGGTTACATTTTTTCAGGATTTAGGGTATTCCATCGGAGTCACGACGCAACAAGTAGCAGCTGACGAAAGAACCCTAGATCAGTTTATCAAGTGTTGGGCTTCAGTTTGCAAATCATTGTTGAATAAAGATTCTTTGGCTGGGTTCAAGTCTACACCTTTGTTCGATCGGAGTGTAATTTCCGACCCCAATTCACTTAAAATCACGTTCTTGAAACAATGGTGGAGCCGATTGAATTCATCTAAAGTTTCCGGTGAAGAAGTCGATCAAAACATCGTTCAAGCAACTTTCATCTTGACATCCTCCGACATTAGCATGATCAAATACCACATACTCGAAAAATGCAAGATGATAAATGAAGACCCACCATTACATCTATCACCCTACGTGAGTGTATGTTCTTTTATATGGATTTGTTTACTTAAAGTCGAAGAAGCCCATGATTCTAGAGGTACATCTTCTAGTTCTCCTCTTTATCTAGGGTTTAACGCAGGTGGAATTAGTCGTTTAACGGATGAAATACCATCAACTTACTTTGGAAATTGCATAGCTTTTGGGAGATGTAGGGCGTTTAGGAGTGAATTGTTGGGTGAAGATGGGGTTGTTTTTGCAGCAAAATCAATCGGAAAAGAGATTAAGATGCTTGATAAGGACGTTTTAGGAGGGGCTCAAAGGTGGATATGTGAATGGGATGAATTGAATGTTAGGGTTCTTGGTTCACCAAAAGTGGATTCATATGGGATGGATTTCGGGTGGGGGAAAGTCGATAAAGTTGAGAAGTTATCAAGTCATCAAAAATGTAGGGCAAATCATGTAATATCTTTAACGGGAAGTAGGGATTCGAAAGGTGGAATTGAGATAGGGGTGGCTCTTACTAAGGCTAAAATGGCTGCATTCACAGCCCTCTTTAATGGTGGTCTAATGAAACTCGTATGATGAAGAAGATGATGATGATGTGGTCCAACATTCCAATCCAATAAAAATGGCGATAAAATTCTGCAAATGCATAGGGAGTTTGACCAAGTGTTTCGTTGCACAAGTATAAATTTGGAAATGTATAACATTATTTTATATCATTATTGAGATATTGAGATTCACACGTTCCTCTACATAAAATACTTTTTGTCATGTGCGACCAAATCAACTGATGTATTCACAAGTTCACTAACGTACAAGAAACTATGTAAACGGTACAAGTTGGTGATGAAATTTTCTTTTCAAGCCAATAACTAAGTTTAAAATTAATTAGAAGAAGAAAAACGATTTTAAAGCAATCCCATTAAGATCAATGGAAGAAGAAATTAAGAAAAAAGAAAAAGTCAATCGCTCTTGTCTTTTTGGATGGGTCGAATTTTTTGAACTCAAAATCAAGATCCATCTTTTTAATTCACATGATTAGATGAATTTTGTTGTTTTTAGTTTCTCGTGTATAAATTAATATAATTCAATTCATCTTTTTTCACTTTATCTAATAAATAAATATGCATTTTTAAAATGTATACTTTAAAAAAAAAATGATATACCGAATAAGAATTCAGTCGGAAATTTGAATATAAAAGATTAAGAGATGTATTTTCACTCTATTGTAACTCAATTTAAAAAAAGATATGAATGATAATTGAGTTCAATACTTTATTTTTGGATAAAACTCAAAAATTCACCATACATCCACTAAAAAAAAAAATGCAAATTAGTGACCAAAGCGATATGGTCACTAACAATAGAATAAATTGTCACTAATTGATTTAGTGACCAAAATTCCGGTCGTTACTTTTCGTCACTATAGGTCCGTCACAAAACCGATTCAATGATCAAATATAAATATGGTCACTAAACAGTGACTAAAATATACTCGTCACTAAATCTGTGATGACTCACTTCGTCACTAAATGTTGTCACTGATCAATTAAAGTTGTCACTATTTTTTCTACTTAGTGACCAATAAAAGTCGTTACTGTTTAATCCGATTAGTGACCATAGAAGGTGGTCACTGTTTACTCCGATTAGTGACCATAGAATGTGGTCACTGTTTAATCTGATTAGTGACCAAGTGGTCGCTGATTTATCTAATTAGTGATTATACCTCTCGTCACTGATTTATCCTATTAGACACAAAAATAGGGTCAATAATTAAGAAATTATTGAAATATTTAATGTCCAATTAGACAAAAGAAAAAGCAATCTTATCAATTTTTACAATACAATAACCAAAAAAATCTTCACATTTATAATATGAAAATTAAATGTCAATTTTAAAAAACAAAATCCATACATTTTATCCAATATTTCAAACAACAAACATATAAGGATCAATGTGGATTAAAAGTAAAATAAATTGATCGATGCAATTGAGATAATTTTGAAAGCTCACTCATAAATTCCATTTTCTTATTTTACTCCTCTCGATATTTGATCTGTTCTTCTTGAAATTGTAATTACTCTCGATATTTGATCTGTTCTTCTTGAAATTGTAGTTCCATTTGTAACTTTTCTATGCCTAAAAACAACACTGTTCTGGTGTTATTAAAATGTGTTGTTAAAGCACAATGCTTAATAAAAAAGTACAATCATTTAAAAGAATGAACAATTGTAAATATTATGGTTAAATATATTTGTGTTCTATAGCCTATACGTTTATAACATTCTACTTTCTTTTTTCCAACTACAACATTGTACTTTCAGTTGTTTCTTATTAAGCCATCGTAGTTTGATTCTTTAAAACTATATACCCAATAATACCAATGCTAACCAAATACAAAGCAAACTTTTATTAGAAGAAATGAGAGTATGATACTATAATAAACAAAGTAAAAAAAGTACATTGCTATTTCTTGCATGTTAAAGAAACAAAACTTTACCAATGTTTTATCAGATAGTTGATGATTATTGTATAGATTTTACTAGAACTAAAATTAATAGCAGATTAAAACATGGTTAAACTAAAGTTTTTTTTTTCTACTAAAATAAAAAAGTTTTTTCACTAAAAGAGCTTCTCATAACATAATGTTTACCTATTTTGACTGAGTATGTTGCCAGTAGGAGGCACAACTTGTCCTGTTCGCGTTCGAACAGATACAAATGGTCTTCCAGATAATGTGGAGCGAGTTTTAGGAGTGTGATTCATAAAGTTTTGACCTAACAACATAGGAGCATAAGAATATCTAAATAAAATAACCATTTTACCCTTAAGAATATAAGTATGTATTTATTTGATCAGCCAATTTAGGACCTCCAATTTGCTTTTTATTTATTTTTGAAGAGTTACATTTAATTTAATTTGATTAAAATAATGATAAGCAATTACCTGAAAGAGATGCTCTAAGATGGTTGCAGTCCTTTCACCAATCTATTCAATCACACAACTAATAAGATGTCAAAAATTAAAAATATAAAAATATTTCTAACCCAAGAAACCTTGTTGTACAAATGACAAGGTTAAACTTAGAAAGCATTTATCCAAGAAAAGTGGTGTTGGAATCAATTGTGAATGCTATGGTCCAAGGGCGTTTTAGGGATTCTCTACACAAGGTAAGACGACATAGGATTGACTTTAATGTTATTATTGACCATGTAAGGTGAAAGATTTTTTTAAATTTGGCAACTGAGTTTGTCATCTAGGCAGATAATTTAAACTACATTAGAGAACAAAAATATCATGGAACTATCAGATTCCACCGACCCAAAAAGACAAAAGATTAGGAAACCGAATGAGCCTATGAAAATCGCGTTGGATTATAGTTCTTGAACCATATCAAAAAACAAAACAAATGATAACAGAGGGTCTAAAACTGTAATTTTTAGAGTTAGTTTAGGGATAACTTACATTGAGATGAAAAAAATGAAGTCAAACTAAAGATCAAATCAATACATACTTATTGTTATTTTTTTATCACACAAATAAAAGGTTACCTTTTCACTAGAGACAATCTTCTTTCGACTGATGCAACTCTGAAGATGCTACAAGTACAAATACATGAATGAATTAGTGAATAAATGTGTTTAATTATGTATCATCAAGGTATAAAGAAAGAAGATAAAGAAATAAAATCAACCTAAAGATCAAATAAATACATACTTATATTGTAGATAAATTGCATTAATAAGAAAAATGTAAATCACAACTTTTCCTTATTGAAAATCCATATGTTAACTATCTGATTTCGATGTGTAAATCACAACTTTTCCTTATTGATTGTTCCAGAAAGGAAACCCCATGTGCATTTTAGTACAAAATAGCATAATCTGAATATTAATCTCTATGGTTTCTCATATATGATCTTTGCCTTATTGATTTTATCTACAAGAGTTTATAAGGATTTTGGAATCAAGATTCTTTTTCCTTGCAACCAATGCTCAATCTTCATTGAGGTAAAATTAGGGACAATTAGGTAATTTACATCTTTGGAGTTCAAGTAGCAAACAAGATGTAAATATATTCCAAAATATGCCCTTCGAGTGTGTTTGTATGTGTGGTTTTTAAGTGATTTTCAATTGTAGAATCAGATACGCAATTTCCTTAGAGGTAGGGGTAAATTGGTAATTTTACAATTATGTTAGTAGTTATTTTTAGGGGTTGGAGGCCTACGTATAGGAATGTTTTGCTTGGTGTGAGAAAAGAACTAAAAATACCATGTTCAACAAAAATATCAATCGAAGATTTGGAAGTAGAAATTTTCCTTCACTTGTTGCTGGAGTACTCAATGTAAAGTAAATACTTAAAAAAATTACAGACTTTCTATTAAGTGATGTATGGATAAGATGTTGAATGGATAAATGATGTATGGCTAGGGGAAGTGTTTATGTTTAATGAACAATGAATGCTTTTCTTTTGGACTTAATGATAGAATGAGAGTAAATAACCATTTTACCCTTCCATTTTTGTAGTACATTGGCACGTTTTATATTTTTTAAAATGTTTGTAGTGAAGGTTCAAGAAGCTTGAAAGTGCAGGCTTTTGCTACTTTAGGACATGGGGCTGAAGAGTTCTTTTCAACAATTCTGAATATAATATATATTAAGTTATGAATTTTATTTAATGAACATATTGTTTATGGATTGCTAGTTTTGTCAACAGGGGCTAGCAAGTGCTGCAACGCGATATCTTGGAGTTAGGAGCATAATGGCGTTACTTGGTCCTATGTATTATTCTGTAACAACCCGAAATTTCCGTACCACTTCTTGTAACTCTTCCGTAATTCAATTCAGGCAACCAATCGTCATTTTCAAATTCGATTCCGATTTTCTTATTTAATTAAGTCATTTACTTGTACGTTTCTAAAATGACTTAATGGGTGTCTTAATACATTTAAAAATCATTTTAACACCCCATATTAGTGATCGGAATATTTCTAGAATTTACCATATCGGGTTACGACAACCTAATCGGGTACGACCAAAAGCCTCGCCTAACGCCGGTATCGGGTAGAATTTCACCGTGTCCAAAACTTAGACACTATATAAAGTGTTCTAAGCCTTCATTTGAAGCTTTTGGCTTCATCTCTCTACTCTCTCTCTAACCTCTCTCCTCACTCAAAATCAAAGGTCCAAAAACAAAGATTTAAGGCTCCAAATCAAAGAGGTAACATCCCTAACTTGTTATCTAGCCTCTTTAGCCTTCAAATTGATGTTTAAATCAAGATTTAGGACCTGGAACATGTGTTTACATTCAAGGATGAAGCTTGGGTCGTAAACACACAATAAAGGGGTTTTTGAGCCATTTAACCCTTCCAAATCATTGTTGGGACTTAGATACGACCTTGAGGCTTACCAACCTGGACTTGGAACACATTAAACTTACATTTTGTGGGACAAAAGAGAGTTTACGGCCAAGGCTCCTTCTTGGGCCGTAAACTCCTCAAAAATGGGGATTTAACACCCTTAAACATGTTAGAATGCCTTGAAACTTAACCAATAGCCTTGGAATAAATCATAGAACC